GCTGGGCTGCACCTGTCCAGGCCATCTCCAGCCACCGTGAAACAACCCGGTCACAACCACGCCAAGGTCTCCGCCGTCAGCTCTGCCACCCTGCCATGCTGCACCTCCTCTCAGGCCCCGCCCAGGCTGTCCCTCCCCGCCCCCACCGGAACACGCCAAGAGCTCCTGCTGACAGCCACAGTCACGCAGTCCCTCCAACGTGAGACACATCCCACTGCCCGTCCAACGGGCTGCTCTTCCGCGCCTGCTCCTAGCACCTTCGGAGTGCTCCCGGAGGCCACCAGCCCAGGGACACAGGGCAGGGCTGTCATCGAGCTGCCCCTGCCCACTTGAGAACACTGGCAGCTGTGTGGGTGTGGGCTGGCATCTCAGAGTTCCTCCTACGGCCCCCTTACACCAGTAACGAATCTAATCTGACCGAAAAGAGACCCTTTCCAGTTGACTACGCCATCCTAGTGACCTGGAAGAGATTTTCAAACGTGGTCCTCTCCCTGCGGAGCAGTGGACTGAACGTACACGCACTTGCGCAACACGGACACGCTCGGCCGAGCGCCGCAGCCTTCAGTGAGGCGGGGTCTCGTGGGGCGGGCTTCCTACCTTTATCCTCCCCAGCTCAAACTGGAACACGTTGGGGCTGGTAGCCTGTGCGAACACCGCAGGGAATAATTTCGTACTTGGTTCCACCTTAAACAAATCAACAATTTACGCAAAGTCGTCTTCTAGTGACTAAGGGTCACTTCACAGCAGGAGCCCAGAGACGCGCCCCCGGCCCCTCACTGGCTGCGGGTCTCATCTGCGCGGGCATTGCCCCCCCTCCGCCCGCAGGGCTGGGGGCCGCCCGTCCCCGCGTCTCCGCCCACTCTGCCGGTGACACTGGTTTCCCCCGACCACACGCGAGCTCGCCTGGACAGGCGGCCACACCGTGCGTACCTGGTAGTAGGTGCCCAGCTCCTTGCCGTTGGCCATGAAGGTGAGCAGCCCGCTGGCAGCGTCCACCATGCAGCCGATCTCCAGCCCGCCGCTGTTGCGCCCCTGGCCGGGGCTCAGGCCCTCGCCCGCACACACCATGTAGCAGTTGCTGCGCTTGATGCTGGATTTCGGAGAGACAGGTGGGTGTCTGTGCGGCCGTGTGATGGGTGCGCGCCTCACAAGCTACCCTAAGATATGCTGCGCAAGCGACAAGCTCATGCTGCAATGGCGAGGCGTGCGATGGCCCGGCCGGCTCCGAGCAAGCCCGCAGCGCGGACCTTCCCACCTGGGCTCCGCGCCCAGCGCCCACGCCTTGTGACGACAGCCGACTGCTTGGAGCCGGCTAAGAACTGCCCCGGTTCTGCCACCTTCTCCCCCGAAGGCTCAGAGCAAACGGGACCTTCTGGGGTTACTACCGAGCGGCCCCCCAGCCTGAGGTCTGTCCTCGCGGTTCTTCCGCTACAACTCTGAGACCAGACACGTTTGCTTCCAAACACCATCAAAGTCTTAGAAAAATTCTACGTCAGCCATCAAAGGATTTAAAATTTGGATCAAATTATGCCCTTTGTGGACAATCCTAGTGGTCTAAGATCCAGACTTCCCAGAACATGCACAAAACGAGTGACGTTGACAGCAAGCCTCCACCTCGTCCCGTCTTCGCCAAACCTTCACTACTGACAGCAGTGACGCTGCCTTGCTGAGCATCACTCGCGGGCCCTTCCCCAGCCTGAGGCGGAGGGCTGGAGCCAGACTAGGAAGAAGGCCCAAGGTGGGCAAGAGAGAACTCCGGAGCTGGGGAGAAGGGAGGCCGTTCCTTTGCACTCCACACAGAAGACCCAAGGCCCGCTTGGCTTCTGCTTCCCACTCGGCCCCTACCGGGGCCCCTCCCTAGGCTGAGCTTCCTCTCACAGCTGCCACCTCCGAAAACCAGCGTGTCCCTGGGACCTTCCCAGCGCGTGGGTGTGGGGTCCCCTACTGATGCAAAGTGCACTTCTTTCGAGACTTTGGCCAGGCCCTGGCTCAAATGTTAAGTCTATCGGTTTTCGCATGTCACAGCCTGGGGGCAGGAGAGTGAGTCGCGCACCAGGAACAGGGTGCAGGGAGAGGGGTGCACAGACCCGCCAGCAGGTCTGGGGATGCACAGCACGGGGAAGCGGATGGTCGGATCTTCTCTTGTCTCATTCCGCAAGGAAGATGGCCTCTGTGCGACTGAGGCTGGGTTTGAGCTGGGTTTGATTTACGGATGAGAAAAGCTGGCACAGAAAGTGTAACCAACTTACCCGAAGCCACACAGCGGGTCAAAGGCAGAGCTGGGGAAAGAACCCACTGCTCCTCAGTCGGAGTCTGAGGCGCCCCCTGGTCTAACTCCAGCCCCGGCCCCCACATGGCTCTCCATCTCATACACAAGACCGGACACCTCACGCTCACCCGTCCTGACCCCCAGGACTCGGGCTGAGGACGCTGTGAACCTGGAGGAGTGCGAGATTGCCACCCAGAAGAGGGGCGGGCCGCCGTGGCTGTCTGCACAGGTAGCACACCTACAGTCCCACTGCACGGGCTCTGCCGGTGGGTCCTACTGCCCACAAATCGGGGTATCCTGGGCGCGAAACCCACCGGGCCCCAGGCCCGCCGGCACGTCCGCTGTGCTCCTGAGCGCCGAGGACACCCACCTCTCATGCACTTTTCCTTTCTCGTCCCCCAGAGTCACCGTCACCGTGCGAACTCTGTCCAGGTCAAAGACGGTGTCATGCTGGTGGAAGTCGGACGTGATCCAGCCCACCCAGACGTTGGCGGGCTCCTGCCCGGGGAAGATCCTCACTGAGTAGTAATACTGCGGAGACAGCAGGGCCGCGTCAGCGACGCCATGCCACAGCTACGACCAGGCGTGTCGCCTCCACGACCTCCTGTCTGGGTCACAGAGACACGTACAGACCGCTGCACTGCGGAATGAGCGCCCCCCAGAGCAGAGGCCCGAATCAGTTCCAAACAGGCACGGCAGACCCGCTGAGTAAGCCAGGGCCCATGACGCTCCCAAGCATGTGCATGTGTGTGTGTGCATGTACACGGCACAAACATGCAATGCAATCAACCCACTGCGCAGGGCAGGTGAGCTGCATGTGCACAAGCACAGATCTCACCAGCAGGCCGGCACCCACCCGCCCGCCCGCCCGCCCTCGGT